TCTTCTTCCTGACCTGTCCAGAGTGCCATGGCATGTGGGTTGCTGACAAGCAGAGCTTCCTTCTGGTGAGTTGAGGGAGACAGTTTTTGCTGCTGACTTCTGTGACGCTCGCTCGGATCAGCACCTGCTGTGCTTGTTGGGAGCTGGAGCGGTTTCCTATCAGAAAATCAGCTTGCTGGGAAGTGCCTACTTGCTTGCTGTTCATTGCAGCTGCTTCCCTGGGCTCCTGCTCGCCGCGGCTCTTCCACGGGCTTGTTCCTGGAGTGCTGGGTGAGGAGTGACAGGGAGCGGGGACAGGACACCAACAACCAGAACGGGTTGGTGGGATTCATTCCCACCAAGGAGAGCGTCGTCCTGATGATCTCTTGGACCAGCAGTGATTCACAAGAGTAGGTAGCGCTGATGTAGCAAAAAAAATCTCATTTCCCAGGTAAAAAGTGAACAGTATTAATATTTGTGCCCTGCGTTAAGCATGGTGTCCTGCTCCGCAGCAGCCTGCGAGGCTGCAGGGACAGCAGTGCCCAGCGGCTGGGCAGCAGCTTGGGCACCAGGATCCCCCCAGGACTCGGGGCATTGCTCACCCGCTCTCCAGCTCTTTCTGCATGTGCAGAAGAGGCGCTCAGGAGTGTGCTGAGGATTAATTATTCTGTTAGTTCAAATGCTTCAAATTAGTTAACAAATCAAATGCATTTATTACTGTACAGAAACACTCAAAAATATTCCTAAGCCTTAGGGTCCTAAATTAATGTGCAGTGTTTACAGGGCTGTGCTAGCAGCCTCCTCCTGTTGGCACTGAGCTCACTGGGATGCTTTTCCACCCTGGCAGCTTAAAAAAGTCCCAGTGCAATGCACAGCACAAGGCACCGTGGAGCCAGCTATGTGCAATAACCTCTTGGAGTGTTCTGGTTTTTTTTTAATTTCAAGCAAGTTTCTCTTTTAGTTTTAAGGTCAATGTGAAAACCCCAAACGTTGCAGCCTCTGTACATATTTGGCAAAGCAGAAAATATGTTTGTTCCTTCCTTCTTGCTTCTGTCCCTTGGTGATCGCGTAAGGCGCAGGAGCCCCAGCGCCGCGTCAGCCCCGTGACAGAGATGGAGCACTTGCACTCACGGAGATTGAGCAGGTGGTGATCAGAGGGAACCGGGAAGGCCCCCAGGATGTGGTTCTGGGAAGTGCGAGGGAAGTCAGGCAGTGTGAGTAGAAATGCGGAGGTTTTATTGTTCAGGAGTAGAAAAGCGCAGAAAAATGCCATCTGTAATGAGGAAGAAAAGAGCATTTCGGTCAGAATAGCCCCAGTTCTCCTCAGTGTTGAGTTATGAACCTTTTCCAGCTTAATTTTGAGAGTTAAGAGTTTCTAAAGAACCAGGTAATAGCTGGCCTGATCCCGCTGTGCAAAGGTAATTAGAGAAGTTCTTATTGCTCATCTGTTTATATCCCATCTCTGATGTGAGTATTACAGTGCAGGCAGGTGGGAAGCAGGGAGGATCCAAAAGCCATCCCGTGCTTGGCTGCCTGTTCCTGCTCCCGAGCAGCTCTGCTCTTCCCTGTGCCCAAGGAATCGTTTTTCAGCTCCAGGATGCCAGCACTAAATCCTCATTTAATAGACTGTTGCTTCAGTGATTTGCAGGGCTCCGTGTCATAAAGGAGAGATTTGGAGGTTTTAAGTTCATAAGAAGTTGAGGACTTTGGGACAGGAAATAGAGTCCTGAGATACTGGTGCGCCTAAGCCCTCAAATCAGATCTGATCTAGAGCCAATAAACGGACAAATGAAGGTGTAATCCTGGAATTTCTATGAGCTGAAGGATAATATTCAACTAACAGAGAAATTCAGTGGCTGGCAAGGATGTTATCTGATAAAACCGAGTGCTCCTGGAAATGTCATCCTGTGGTTAGCTGCTGCAATAACACTTTGCCTTGCTCTGGAGCCTTTTATCTTGTGATGCAGAATGGTTGGCAGACATTAATTAATGGCACCTTGCAGTGTCCCCGTGCGATTTTCAAGATTTGTATTGATGTGAATCTGAGGAAAGGTATTAAAAGGTCCCTAGTGAGTGTGCAAGGAAGATGGGTGCAGGAGCGGGGCTCCTTCAGGCCCTGCTGCGCCGTGGCGGAGCAGGAGCCCTGGGCCCTCCGCGAGGTGGAGGAGGCTCAGGAGAGGAGGAGGAGGAGGTTGAAGAATTTGGGAAGAAAAGACTGAAGTCAGATACTGAATCTGATCTGTAGCTTGCTTGTCGTGCACATGACTGAGCAAATACAGCAGTAATAACAGGAAAAAAGGCTGCAAGGGACTTCAGGGGGTCGGAGGAGGGAGGGCCGGAGGCCTGTCGTGCCCGGTCCTCTCATGGCGCTGGAGACTTTAAAGGTGGATGGGGTTAAACGTGATTCTTTTTCCTCTGGGGCAGTTGGCTCCAAAGCACAACTGACCTTGTCAAGGGATGACATTTTGGAAGGTCTAACCTAAATGTCTCTTGCTGTAAATTAAAACTTATTTCTTTTTCTCCCTCTAGTGGATATGGAGAGCCCATTCATATGGGGACCTTTGCGCTGTTGCTGAATGCCATGGTGCTACTACAGGTAGCTCCAGGCTTGCAATGGACAGTGCCAGTGCCAGGCCTGGCTTATGGCGTTTGCCCTAACCCTGAAGAAGTAAAAAGGGTGGTAGAAAGCATTAAGTATTCACTACCATTCAGTATATAAAACTGTTTTGCTCTACGTTTCTGACAGCAGGGAGATACCAGTTTACCTGGAAGCGGGTTTTAGCTCCCTTTAAAGCAACCAGGCACCCCCATGCCAGCCCTCCTTCTAGGTATCTGCTTCCTTGTAAAGAGCTGCGGAGGGGTCTCCCTGCAGAGCCTCCCTCCGTGTGGTGTCTGAGGTGGAAAACTGACTCCAAATCCTTTCTGAAGGAAAACTGGGAATAATAGGAGGGATCAGCTCCTGCCTGGTCTCCATGCTTTGATGTGTGTTGCAGCGGTGTGTTTCCTGGCCTTGCTCTGGGCGTATTGCAGGGATGAAGCAGCAAGCTCAGAGCACAGTATGTGACCGTGGCGCAGTCCAGTTCAGAGCCAGGGAGGACACTCTCCTTTCCCAGAGAGGCCCGACCTGCTGCTTGGAGGAGGAGGCCGGTTGGCCGATGGAGCGCGGGGGCTGTGTGCCTCGGGCTGACACGGCGGCGCCTGCGGGGCCGGGGAGCTCCCTGGAGGCCCCGCGCTCCTGCTCTCCAGCCGTGGATATAGAAACGCTTTTAAATACGTTTCTTTAGTGCCCTGATTATAAAAAAAAAAACACATGCAAACCAGCCTCTTCAGTTCTCTTGTCATCTTGGATCTCTTTCAAAACTGGTCTAATCAAGCAGTTCTTTATGATAATTTAAAAAAGAAGGCCACTCTTCAAAGGAATAGTGTGGGAGCCTCCTTGGGATTGAAAACGCAGCACTCCTCAAGCGACCAAGCAGTTGGGAGCCTCAGCTAGAAGTTCAGAAGGCAGCACCTTTAGCTCCCTGCTCTCCTGCAGGATGCATGGCCGTGGTGGTGAATTCCGGCCGGGATTTGTAACCAGGGAGGATGTCAGTGAGCAGCCACTTCCCTCAGTCGAGCTCTTGCAGCCTGTCCTTTTGCAGCAGTTCAGCACTGGCCACAGCAAGTGTGGGGGGGCATCCCAGCTGCTGGCTGTTCCTAGCAGTCAACAGCAAGGGGAAACCTTGCTAAGCGCAGAACCAACCGCGCCAAGACCTGCCGGCAGCCAGTGGCAGATCCCAGCTGCAGCAGCGACTGAGAAGTGGCAAACAAACCACCTCCGAGTCACAGCAGTCAGGAGAGCGTCGCTGCCCGAGACGTGCTAAAATAGAGGTTGTTCCATCTTTAGATTTCTTTGCATGCTGGTTTGTAGAACCGGCCATCCAGCAGAGCCTACTCTGTCATTTCCTTTTGCTGCAGGTGTTCCTCTCCAGGCTACCTCTCATGCCCAGCCGAGGATCGCAGGATTGCTGTGACACTCATCAGCATACCTGCTGCCTGGGAAGCTGTGTGCTAGGATGAGCTCCCCAAACTTTATTTCAGCTCCATTAGTTTTTTTTTTTTAGTATATTTTGATGCTTGTCATTTTTTTTATGAAAAAGGAGAGTTATGTGAGAAATCTTCTCCTCAGTGGGATTCTGAACTGCCTGTGCTTGAATTACATATTGCTTAGCAAATATCTCAATATTTCGTGTTCAGATACTGTCCCTCAAAAGCGGTCAACTTGCAGGGATTTCCCTAGATCAGAAGGATTTATTGGCAGTGTGGCAGGAAGGACACGAGACAGTCACAGAAAAGCAGTCTGTGGAGAGGGAGCGCTGTAGCTCACAGGGGTCGGCGTGGTGGAAGTGCCCTGGGCCTGGCCGTGGGCAGGGCACCAAGGAGCAGAGCAGCGGCATGGAGCTCGGCAGGGTCCCGTGGGCAGCAAAGAGCCGGTGTTTGAAAGAAGAAGGTGCATTAATTACTAGGAGGATTTGCTCGGGTCTTTATTTTGTGTTTCTGACATTGTGTTTCTGACACGAGGAAAAAGGTAAGCAATATTACCTATATTTAAGTCTAATTGAGACTTCAATAATGTTTCTAGGTGCAAAGCAAGTTACTAGAGAAATTAGGGAATTTAAGAATCCTGTGCCGTTAACAGCATGAGCATTTAAGTCCACCTGTGCATGGGTCTGTCCCTGGCATATGAGTCTCACTTGGCTCTGTGTGTTTTCTGTTTACCCATGCAAAGACTGGTGGGTTGTCACTATCGATACCTGGAGCTCACAGCTTGGTAAAACACGCCAGCTGCTGAAGGTGACGGTCTTGCTGTTTGGCTGTTTATGCAGGTGACTGTGGGAGAGTGAGGAGACATTGTGGGGGCTGCGGCCACGCTGCTCCCCGCCGCCGTGTTTGTAACGGGGTCCTTTTCCCGCTGCTCCCCCAGATTCGCCCCCGGAGAGGTGCGGCCAGAGGCGCAACATGCCCAGCGGGGGCCCGGAGAAGAACCCCGCCATGGAGCCCGCCGCCACGACGCCCTTCCGCGTCACGGTGAGTGTCCTCCCCGCTCACCGCCGCACGCGGTGCCCTCCTGAGAGGTGGCTTACCTGACACTGCCTGGTTGCGTACATAAACGTGCACTTCTGAGGTGCTGTGAGCAATAAGCGAGGGCAAAGGATTTCTTGGTAAAGCAACAAGGTTTGGATTTAAATCTGAAGCAGGTTTGGGGAGGTAGTTTCGCTCGGGAGAGTCCCATAGTGAGGTTTCATTTGCAAATCCTAAAGCAGTCCAGTATATTCATACATCACCACGGACATGAGTGACAGCAAGACCACGTGCTGAAAGGGTCTCTGAGGTGCTTGGGGGGGGACATCACTGCATCCGTGCTAAAGAAGGAGCCAAACACCACAGGACCCATCCCCACCCCTACTCTCTGCTCTGTTTCAAGAGGAAAATGTCTGCTGTAGGTGGATGACAAGTTTGCAGAGAGGTGTTTTTATTTAGAGAAGAGGCAAAGGACCTTGGAGCTAATTTGCCCCATGTACATTGTTTTCTGCCCAGGCCGCACCTACTTCAGAGGCTCAGCTTCTTCACAACAAACCTAGATGAGTAGAACCAGATTTTCAAAGAAAGACCATGGTGCAATCTGGAAAAAATCTGAGCACACCCAGTTCACCTGGGAACGGTGGCACTGATGAGTGAATCACTAGCAGCTGCTTGTCAAGTAGTTTATATTTTAATTCTGCAAACTAAGTCTGTGAATGCATAAGACTCTTTTGAGGCTTTATATTCTGTAACCTTTCTATGCAAATGCAGGCTGAACACGTATGAAGTTTTTCTAGTACCATGTTATTTGCTAAATAAAAAGGGAAGAAGTGATCAAAGCAGCGAGAAGACAGCAGGACGCGAGCTCTGTTTCGATGGTGGCATTCACCTTGTGGCAAATACTGAAGTCGAGGAAACAGGAATACTGAGGAGTATGAGGTGTTTGGTAGCTGGTTTTGGTGGCATGTTTGGTTTTCTTTTTCTGGAGCTAGGAAAGTTATTGAGCTAACAGTTTTCTGCACTAAGAGGTCATAGCACAGTGGCATCATCAGCGATTCCCCTTGTGAAACCGCCTTTGTGCTAAGCAAGGTGCGTCTTGTGTCAGTGCCAACAGGAAAGGGAATTTTCTTCTCTAAGCCCCGTGTTTCATCTATCTGCCATCTCTCTGAACTGGTTCTCTCCAAAACTCTGAGCATGGCAGGAAGAAAAAGAACACAGCAAAGCTAACAAAATTGGCATGCTTGTGCTTTGTGCCTTTCATTTAGCAGAATTCTTTACCAGTAAATGTGTAGCTCTGAACCTTAAACACCAACTGCCGGTGGATAATAGACAGAACGAGGGGAAACCTGCGTACTTCTCAAGACAGAGGATTTAGGGGTATTTTTCTCAACTTGCTTGTTGTCAGTGAAGCTGACAGGCTGTTTACTGCTGCCCCTGCGGCAGGTATCCTGCGGTGTGCTTTCAGAGAAGCCCTCCCCATCCCCAAGCAGTTTGGCCGGTGGCTCTGGGCACTGGGTGCGTGATGCGGTTCCCGCTCCGCTCGTCTCCTCTGCGGCACCATGTGCTCAGCTCGCTCTGGGCCTGCTTGGCCCTGGAAATGTTGTTACCAGCAGTATGAGTAGCTTCCTTACAAACACGGCTCTGATGGCTGCCCACATTTCAGCAGCTGCCAGACTTGAGAATTATATTCTACCTCACCTTCCTTCATTAACCGGAAGAGGAGCATTAACAGTCCACTCCAGCCACTGGGAATAGTAATTAGTGCTTTAGCTTAGCAGTAATGGAATTATTACTTTTGAGCTTGCTGCTGTAGGTTTTGATGCAAACTTTTCATATTTTACAGCTAATAGCTCCTCCCTGACATCACCATCTTTCTGCTACTGAGTCCCCAAGGGATGGATAAGCTCTGGAGCGCCTGGATTGGCAGGGCTGCACTCTCAGTCCCTTTCTTTCCTTTGAAATCTAAAGCGATTTCTTTGGAAGTGCCTCCCTCCCCAGGCAGAAGTTTGCCAAGCAAATGTTGAATGGGCATTTGGAAAATATCAATTTCTGCTGGGTTTTGAGTTGTAGAGTTCTCCCTATTCTGTAAAATTTGAAAATCAAGCCTTATGATTTCTACATCTCAGTTTGTGAATTAGCTGTTCCTTTTTCTTCCACACTGAGAAATTAGAGCTTCTTAAAGACTAAAGAAAAAAAGAAAAGAATTCATTTAGGTATAAAATGATTATTTTCCATTTAAGCCCATCTCACTGAGTTTTGTGCTCTCCAAGGTTTGTGTGATGACTTCCCTTGCAACTCATTCGAGTACTGCCATCTGTTGACTGCTTTTGTTAGGGCCATATTTTGGATGTTCTTGGATGCAAACTTGTTTCCCAACACTTCTGTGGCTTGGGTGCACAACTGGATTTCCAGTGATATTATAAGCTACTCATATGGCATCCTATCATGGTTTTAATCTTTGATAAATGAAGTATGAAGTACTAATGACGTCATTCCAGTAACATAGGAACTCCTGGAGAGATGAAAGCAAGAAACCTCCTACCATTGCTCTTCACTGAGCATAATCCTAGATGATGGGATCCTAGTTCAAGGTGGTGTGGGCTAGATATTAAAGGATTTTCCCCAAGTTATTGCCAGTATATAACATGTACTGTTTGCTATTTCATTTCAAGTAATTTTTTCAAAAGCAGTCATGTAAATTATATTTAAATATTTTGAATTTGGAGAATTTATCTTGCTGTAATGTCTGAAGAGCTGAATGGTGCTTCCCTCAGGGCGAGCATCCCATCTTTAATTGAAATGTAATTGTTTACTAAACCGTTCCAAGGAGAAAGGAAAATTACTATCATTTTGGTCTGTGGCTGCATGCATTAGAGCACCCCTTTTGCTGGGGTTTGAATTCAAGGAGAATGGGAATATTATCACAGATGATATACAAACAGAAAGCCATTATCATTAAACTGTCAGCTGCAGCCGAATGTGGAGATGGAGTGTTAGTGGGAGCAGAAATACGTAAATTCCTTCGCGAACGTCTCTGCCGACCGAGTCCCCGTGTTGTGAACAGGGGCAGCTTTGGCTGCGGAGCGCCGGGGGTGGGAAGCAGATGGGAGCTCGGCCTGGGCATGTGCCCGGGCGCCCGCTGCTGCCTGCGGAACGTGGCAGCGCTGCGGCACCCACAGCAGCGCACGGCCCTTTCCTCCTGACGCCCTTCCTTGAACGGGTTTCCAAGCGCTCCACAAAGGTGGCTGATTATTATTGTCCTCATTTTACAGAAGGGAGAAGTGAAGTAGGGAAATGTTAACTAACTAAACTGTGATCATGCCGCAAAATCGGGAAATGTGTCCGGAACTGAATTTCTTAATGTCTAATTCCCAGTCCTGATGTTAACTACTACCTGAATTACTCCTAATTGCCTTTCACTTCTCAGAAATCCTCTGCAGTTTCAAGAGAGTTAAGTGCTCTCCTCAAACCCGATGCTGTCTCGTGCAAGCGACAGAGCGGATTTCTGCTCGCAGCTGCCCCTGCCAGCGCCCAGGGTCAGCAGCTTTGCTGTTGGTTTTAAAATCAGAGCTTTCCGTCTTACTTTTCTATGCCACCTTGTTAATGTAAATCTCTGTGCATGTTTGCTCCTTAAGTTTTATGTGGAGGTTATGAACCATAGGATAAATTCTAGATGAGGCATGAAAGTTAGATTTTGTTTGAAAAAAGTGGAATCTTTTTCCTTAGTGCTAGTGCAGGAATTGGCAAATGAAACTGCTGGAATATTTGTTTAATTATGTGAGTCTGGCCTTGCATATTTCAAGTTTTCAAAGGAAGTTTTGTGTGTCTATGAGGGTGAAAAAGAGCACATTTAAAGAAGGATGTGTGTCAGATTGCAGCACAGAGCTGCTGTGCAGACCGCTGAGGATTTATTATGTGCATCAAGCAGGAGACAGGAATGACAGGATAAAAGCTCTGGTGCTATGACCTGCTTCCCTGAAAAGGGCTCAGCAAGGCAGAGCAGGGATTTTTTCCTGTTTGAAGTGACATGTTCCAGGGAGGTCTCTCTTTCGGAGCCTGCAGCTCTCCACAGGACATTTGTGCAGAAAGGAAGAGGCAGAAGGGTCTGTCGGCGGCTCGGTTCACCCGCGAGGCCGCTTTCCTTTCAAAGCCCCAGTGATCCTGTTCCCGTGTCCCTTGGCGGATCGGATCGCTATGGGACGGGCCAGCGAGGTCCCCTCCCGCGGGACAGGGCAGCAGTGAGCCCATGCTCTTGGAGTCTGGTGATGAGCTCCTTCTGTTTGTTTCTGGGTCACACACAAAGAATTACACTGCAGAAATAAAAGGCAGATAAGAAACACATCCTGTTCTCCCTCTTTCCATAGCACTGATACGGCACTTCCAGAAAATAAGCTACTTAATAGCAGGTGTCCCTCGAATCGCTCAGAGTGCTCCAGTAGCCCATGAGTGTGCATTTAAGAGGGCCTCCATCTCTGAGCATTTGGAAATGTTTATTGCCTTACATCGAAAATACTAGATATTAATTTATGTATTAAATTTTAGAATTTTTTTTAATGGAATTAATGGAGATATGCCTCATTGCCAGAGCAAACAGGACTTGGTAACAGTGGAGAACACCGAACAGTTAATGTAAATTTCTCCCAGCTTTTACATATATTCTGAGACAAATATTTTATTCCTTAGACTGAACACTTGGCTTTCCAAAGTCAAAGCCATGTTTTGAACCCTGGTTTTGGGGCTCTTTTTGTGGAAGGTGGTTCCTATGTCATCTGCACAGTTTGTGCAGGGACTTGGGCTGCTGAGACAGGAGACCCCTTGGGAGAGGCTCTGTCTGTCCAAGTCCTCCTGTCTCTCTGTTGGTCCCTGTTGAGTGACTGAGAATTTATGGACCTGCAGGAGCTGAGGGCCCTTCCTTGGGTAGGGCTGCTGAGTTAGACCATAACTGGTTCGGAGGTGTCCTCCGCCCAGCCAAATCCCAAGTGGGAGCTGTTTAATGTGAGACTTTT